ATGTTCTACAAAGGTTAACGGTAGGTTAATTTTATTTATGTTCTCTCATAATAATATAATGTACCCAAAGTCCTATCCTTTAAATTATTGTCTGCACTCAGAACACACACATATGTGTAACTCCTCTCCTTGGGCAAAATATCTTACTACACACTGAAAAATGTCTTCTTGGATAATATATAAATCAATTCTAATTTAACACAAGCAAATGACACATGACCTTTTGCCTCAAAATAATCCATTTCCTGCAAAGCATGGTGGTGCATGTGTATAATCCCACATTTGGAAAGCTGAAGTGGGAAGATCACCAAAAGTTCTGGCCATCTTGGGCTACACGAGTTCAAGACCAGCCTGAACTACATAGTTTGAGGAGTTCTCAAAACATGAAACAGAACAAATATAGTAATAACACACTTTATAACAATGTCGAATTTAAATAAAGGAACATTCCACCTTGTCTTTTGTGGGATTGAAAGGCAAGCAACTATTTATTTAAAATTTTACACACATTTCTTCTAGTAATAAAATTTCTGATTATCTTTCTAAAGCATGAGGATATATACATATATACTCATATTTATATATGAGATGATCTTTTTAACTGTGAATTTATCTAAATTTCAGTACCAACTTTTTCAGTTGAGTACTAATCTTGTCATTCTTTTGATGTAAAGATCACAGTCAAGTGAATTTAGCTATTATCCTAGGTATTCTTGGTGGCCTGGTTCACTCACGTGAAAATTTTAACCGAAGAGGCAAGGCGTGATGGTAGCCTGTGTCCGGAGTTTCCTGTGCTGTGTCACCCTTGCCTTTCCAGATACAGATGCATGATCCTGTAATCCAATCTAGAATCACAAAAGATATTTTAGCACAATCCCTGCTCATTCTGTTTCTCTGGTTGAATTCTCACCTAAACTTTGATAACTGATCTACTACTACACGAACATAATCCTGAAGATAAGTTTCCTGAATTGATTCTAGGATGTCCAGGACTTTTCTCTAGGTTATTACATTTAAAGGCACGGAGGATTTTTATTCTCAGTGGTAAAGACTAAGTTGAGCTGACAATGGCTTGGCATCACAAAATATTGACAATGTATATTTCTCACCATTTACTTATAAAAAGCAAATTTCCTCATGACTGTGCTTTTACCACCCTAGCATATTTTGCCTAAATTAAGGAAAGTATGGGATTAACAGATTGTCACTGTAGTCTTGAAGAAACTGAGTAATGTAAATAATGTGCTCAAGATTTCAACTCTCCTACTCGAACTCTATGTGGACGACCTAACCCTTCATTAGTTTTGAAGGAAACTCTTTCATCAAAGCCTGCAAAATTGAGAATTTAAAAAAAAAAAAAAAAAAAAAAAAAATATATATATATATATATATATATATATATATATATCCAGAGCTTCAGTCAGAGTCACAACAGAGAGCTACATCCATAGATTATCTTGTGTTACAACATAAGCACTGAGCAGGAAGGAATGGGGTTCTCAAAATGGGACCTGGAAAGATTCTGATGAGGCCGGAGAATTGGAATCTGTGAATTTGCAAAGCTTTTGCCACTAAAAGTAGCCTTTCGTCCTCAGCTGTGAATGAATTTGCTTTTGCTTGAAGAATCTTGTGTGAGATTTGCCTTGTGTGTCCTGGCTATTTGTCTTAGGTGCTATCCCTACCACCTCTTTGCGTTCTTAGAGCCACAAAACTAGACTTAGGTTTTATCAGACCCCAAAGAGTAAGGTGGCACGAAATATGACCTAAGGAAGTATATTACCCACCTAAGTAACTAAGTATTTTTACAGAATGCAATCATGGGAATGTGTCTCAAAGGTATGACATCATTAAAGAAAGAATATCAGTTTGGTTATCAACATGAATCACTAGATAGAGATTCTGGATTTGATGTTTTAGGTTGAGGGATTGAAAGGGCAAGAATATCCTGCAGTAATTGAAATACAAATGCTAAAAGTACTGTGTTAGTACACTCGGAAGGATGGTATTCAGAAGGGAATGGTGCTGTGATATTAGAATGGATCGATCATATGAATCTTCTCAACTTCTCTAGATGGTGTAGGTGACAAAATTTTGCCTTGACTTTGAGAAATAAATTTGAGAAAGAGATCTCAGAATCTTTGAAGAATGCTCCAGATGGGCTGAAAGTAGTCTAGAAACTCATCATCCAGCTGTGATCCTTAAAATGTCTTGAGAATAAAAGGATCTCAGGGTTGCAGTGGCCACATGACTGCACTTAATTGCCAAAAACTTGATGTTTGTGGCTATGGTTTTGAGCAAAGGAATCACAGCAGTGATCAGAATATGGATTTGCAGAGATTCATAGTGTGAGCTAGTTAACTATGGTGCATTTACAATAAATAGATAAGTAGTCCAATAAAGTCTTTAAGTGAAAGAATTCAAGTTTTGTAAAGGGACACCTGTTCTGTGTCCTTGAGATAGTGATAGCCTATCAATTTACTCCCAGACCATACCCAACCCTCACAATACTAACACACTATCAAAATCTTGTCCTGCCTATATTTTTCCACCTTTCCTGAAAGGAACCTGTAGCCATTATCCAGGCGGACAGTGCAATGAGAAATGAAAATGTTCAGACATTTAGGGATGTGCTGGACACTGAGTATGAGAGGCACTCACTAATGGACTGAAATGTTACAATGATCCACTCCCCAGAATTGGAGTTTATGGAGATTAGATAGTAAAGACAATTTAGTTTGGGTCCATCTCACAGGAGATGACCCAATCCATGATCTTATTCTGTGGTTATTCACGTGATTCTTAAGTTTAAACATGGGTTAAACACACTCAGCAATTCACAGAAGCTCCATGATATTTCCTAGACTGAACAATGAGGGTTCATAGAGTAAGAACATTCAAATATCAGTCCATATAATTTTCTACTTTACATTGTGATGAACTGAAAGTAGTTACACATGCCTGAAGGGATTACAGAGATTAACACCATTGCCAAGAGCTTGAAACATTCAGGACCACTGATTTTCACAAAGCTGGATTCATGTCACACATTGGTCATATGCAGGGAATAAAAGGATGCTAGAGGACATTGGGTTATTATAAATTTAATAAAGAAGTGTTTCAAATTCCAGTTCATATTGCAAGTGTTTTATTATTGTAACAAATTATGAAGTCCCCTGTATCATATGTACTGTTATGTGTGTGGCAAATGCTATTTGCTCCCTCCATACTTGGAAGTACCATAAAGGTAGTTTAGCTTCCACTGTGGGAAAGAGAAAGAGAAAGAGAGAGAGAGAAAGCGAGAGAGAGAGAGAGAGAGAGAGAGAGAGAGAGAGAGAGAGAGACTTCCACTGTCAGATCAGAGGGATAAGTGCTATCCAGACTTCTTACACATTTATTTATAAGGGAACTAGAAGAAATTTTTCATCTAGAAGAGATCACATTGGTGCAGTACATGGGGGATATGCAGAGTGGCCCCACATGTTAGGTAGTAGACACTGCTGTGGATGTATTAACAAGATATTTTCATGTGAGAAGAGATGAAATGAGCATCAGAAAGTTCAGGGGCCTCTCTCCTCACATCAATTTCTAGGGCTCTAGCGATGGGAGCATGTCAAAGCAGGCCATCTAAAATAAAAGAAATCATTTGATCTGGCCTCTCTTACCACATACAAAAAAGAGACCAAATTGTAGGCTATGTCAAAGGCCACATACGCTTTCACTTTGACCTATCATTCAAACCCACTGACTCTTTGACTTCCAGGACAAGTAATTTTAAGTGTCACTCAGACAAAAAGAAATATTTATGTTGGGTACAGGTTGTCACATTGACAAAGAGGACCTTATATTTCCAGAGAAAAGAAGAAAGGAAAAATTATACCGTACCTTTGACTCATACTCCTTTGAAGTCTGGGTACCTTGTTTTCCACTCAGTGTGAGCTATCAGTGTTTCTTTTTGTGCCCAGGCATCAGCCACAGGTGGACGTGTCAGGGTTGCTAGGGCCTTTTAAGCAAATGTCCTGCCCCAGGCAAGAACACAACTTGCAAATTTCCAGGGGTGCATTTCCCAGGACTGCAGGAGGTTTTCAATGCCCAGATCTGTCAAGGCGCTCTGGCCTTGGCTGGTCCTCCCAGGCTCCCAAGTTATATTTCTGGCTCTCCCAGGTACTGGGTCCTAGTGGCAGAGAAGTCGCAGCCTGCTTTGCTTCTAGTGCTTCCAGGACTCACCTCGCTAGAACTCTTCTTCCTCCCGGAGAGACCTCCAGTTTAGTCCTGGTGGGGCTTACTTATTTTAGCTCTTTGAAATCTGAAGCAAATCAACACTTGAAAAAAAAAAAAAAGAGAGATTGGAAAGAACACATGACCAAGCACCACTGGCTCTTCACTAACAGAATAATAGTATATAATCTATTTATATATACACATATTATATAATATAGTTCTAACTTGCATATCTAAGATGGACAAAAGAAAACTCATTGATCAAATATTTAAATAATAACAACTGTACGTTTAAACATAAAACACACATTACTGCTAAATTATTAGCATACAGCAAACAAACTATTAGAGAAATGAAAAAAAATCAACAGAAGGTAACATTTCAACTACTGAATTGTCATGTTTGGAGATAAGGCTCAGGGCTGTTTTCTAATTTTGGCAACGTTCAAGATACATTCAGAACTGATCAGAGCTGTGTAAGCTAATGAAACACTTATAAAAATAGTTAAGTAGTCTATTTCATTTGCTGCCCATCATAATTAATTGCTGCAGGTCTGATTTATGTGCAGAAAATTTAAAAATATTAAAGTTACCTATTCATGTCAAAGTGTCTATATAAACAGAGTCCCAACTTTTTACAGAGCAGCTTAAATTTCAAATGAAGGTGAAAGCCATCATCCCAAGCAGCTGCCCTTCTTCCAAGTGGCTGCCAGAATACACAATCACTATCTGATGTCGCCGACTTCTCAATTATGCCTCATGGGTTTGCTTTAAACTGGCAGCATTCAGATGGCAGGCGTGCACACCAGCTGCAAAGAAGTATGGAAATGTTCTCTGACTGGTTTGTGCCTTAAGAAACCCTGTCTCATAACATGGAAAATTACTGAACGGAGGATAGAATGCCTTATGATTTAGGGTAAGACTGGTGTATGTTTACTTTAAAATGTCTCTTTTCTGTGTTATTTAAAGAGCATGCATATTTTTAAATAAAGGTGGAGAAGACCATATTCTTCCACTGATGATCAAAATTCTCCTCCCTTAATTTTAGCAATGAATTTGATCAAATGGATTTTAATGGGTCTTTTATGCAAGTTAAGGAGATAGTAGTATGCTGTTATTTACTTTTATTCATTATATTAGTGAAGAAACTTTCCCATACACATGTATTTTAGAAAAAGTAATTATGGTTTACACTATAATAATTAAAATTATACCATAATTATAAGTACTATATGCATAACTTGGTTATAATTGCTAAACTCACCATTTATTAGCCAAATGGTCTTAGCAATAATGATGCTTACCACATACTTTTTTCAGTTTCATCTGTTGTAATAATATACTTAAGTAATGTTGGGAAAATTGAGTCACCTCATACATATATATATGTATATATATATATATATATATATATATATATATGTGTGTGTGTGTATATAATCACCTACACACATACATATAATGAGTGACAGAGAAGTGGCTTATAATTATTAGCCATGCAACTTGTCCAAATATGCGATTTGTTTGCAATTTTTTTTCTTAGGTATGAGATCAAATTGCCATACAGAGAAACATCTTTTACTAGCTTTATAACCACTATATTTTGCAGTTTTCTACTGATGTAAAAAAAAGATGCAGCGATGTTATTGTAAAAGTAGAAAAATCGCTCTTTTTCTCTACTTACCACATATATCTTCTAGCTAACTCTTTGTCTTGCTCTTAAGGAATTCAATGTATGTACCCAGTGGGCGAAAACCACACTATTCCTCTCTTTTAGGGAGTTACCAAATGAAGAGAAATTAATCTTTACTCCAAGAAATACAATGTATTTGAACAAGACTACAAATTGGTTTTCTGTAAGATGTACTGGTTAAGATCGTAGCAGGAAGAAATTACATTTAGAAGTGCACCTGGGCGTACTAGAGAAGAGTAACAGAAAGGAAAAGTTAACACAGCAGTAAGCTTAGTACAGTTACTGGCCGTGTGCTTCCCTCCTCCCCTGACTTGAAATTGAAGACTATTAAAGACTCCTAAAGACAAGATTCCGAGAGTTATTCCTCCCACATTTTTTGCTCAAACACTCCTTATCCTTTCAGATTTGATAGTCAGCTGTCTATCTCGATATACTAAAATCCTGCCTTTATAGAATGTCTTCAAATCATATAAATGGATATTATGTGGTTCCTAGAAATATCTTTTCTGTCTATCTTATCATTTTTATAAGTACCTGATCCCAGGATTAAATCTTGCTCAGGTCTGTCTGACGACGAAAATCTCTTTCTTACCATAAATATTCTCCTTAATATTATGACTGATAATTTTGTGGCTTTCTACAATTATATAGACTTCACAGTAATTTTATTGAATTGTTCACATAAACCAATTTTCAAACTCACTACTTAAAACTCAGTTTAGCTATAATTTACTCAATGACTCAAATTAGATTCACTAGCATAATTGTCTTCTTGCATAATACTTTGTGTTGTCATGGTATTTTACTTTACAATACCAAAAGCTGTTTGTAATCTGTACATTAATTAGTAATATAATATTAAATTCACTCTCTTTATACACAAATGATGTACATAATAATCTGAATCAGAGTCTTTTTAACATTGTCAGTGACCTGAGACTGAAGTCAGCTAGTAGTTGTTAAGTAATAAACATTTTCTATAATAAACCTGCTCTTTCTTCAATAATAGGCTTTCACACTGCTCTTTAGTTGATAAATTCTGAACGGTTTGTGCTGTCATTGTTTGATTATCCACTTTCTATGCTTTGATTTTCTGACTTGAGAAACTACTTCTAAGATAACTATATGTAATTTATAAACTAGTGGTTTCTTAACTGTTTTTTTTTTTAAATTCTGTATTATTTTTACCCTTTTTCCTGTTTTGCTTTTTTCTCTAAACAAAAAAGTTTTTAAAAATCAGATTTTTCAATATCTAAAATTCAGGTATACTTTAAAAATATATTAGCCAGATTTACATGTAGAAAACATTAGCAAAAGTTATAGTATAAGTTAAATATCAAGCATTTTATTCACATTAGCGTTTTCCTCTGCGGAGAGATAGGAGCAACAGAAATTTTTCAGAGAATACTACTATAAAATCCAGTCACTTTTGAACTTAAAGTACTGTATCAATTATCTATTGCTATGCCTTTACTTAATGGAGTCACACAATCAGAATGGATTATTTCTCAAAATTCTTGTAAGTGTGAGCTGCCTGAATGATCTGAGCAGCCCTTGGATTCCAAGTGTTCTACAGTTGAGTGGTCACAGAGTCACATTCAACTGGGAGTTCAGCTGGATTGAGGAAATATGAAAGGCTATCCATACACCTGGCATCTCAGTCAGAGCAGCCAAAACTTGGTTCTGGCTGAACTCCACTCAGAGCACGACAATTGCACTTCTTATGCAGGGGTACATGACTAACTCCCAGAGAGCCACTGAAAGTCACTGTGTCTCATCTCTACCTCATGATACAGGTCAAAGCAAATTCCAAGGCCAATACAGATGCAAGGGGAAAAAGTAAAGTGTACCTGATGAAGAGCTGCAAATGTGTACAAGGATTAGACAATGGTCAGTATTTATTATTGAAAACATGACAGAAAAAGGAATACTAAAGTTCAAGGATACAGAGGCTAAAGGATGTATCTAACCACCTAGAGCTGGTGGACCAAAGAGAAGAGGTTGAGATAATCAAAATGCAAAAGGTAGGAAGGGTAGCCACGTGCCAAAGAAACCAGAACCTGAAAAGCAAGACTTACTTGGTGGGTGCACTGTTCAGACACTTAAGAGAGAGACCTCAGCAAAGACAAATCAAGATGCATCACTTACAGGTTCAAATTCCATGGGATGACTGTGATCATTGTATGTACCTAAGTGGTATCAATAAAGTTAATCAAATTAAAAGATAATTATCACATCTTTCCTTAACTGCATTCAGTGTTTCACAAATGCTATTCTGTCTAGGAAGGGTGCATGATGAAGGTGGTTTAGGAAGTATTGGCATAAAAAAAATGGAGTCATGCTATGACACAAATTTTCATTACCATGGGGAACCAAACGGAATAAGTGACAGAAAAACAAAAGAGAAAAAAACAGCGTAAACAGAACCAAAAGGAACAGGCCTTTTCTCTCGCCAGCCTCCTCCATCTTTAGCGTCCCTCGCGTTGCTGAGGTTAACAGTGAACCACAGCTGGGGGAATGGAAGGATGAGCCACAGACTTCGTGCTCCAGATGGAGAAGCAGGGTTGGAGCCAGCCTACTTCTGAGAACACCATGGGAAACATAGAATTTTACATTCCTGTGCCTTAAGGGGTAAAGGACAAATGTCCTCAATTAATTTGTACTGTAAAAATTTAAAGGTAATGTTAAACATATTCCTCGATATTCATTTTATGTTTTCAGCCCTAGTAACACCGTTTAGGAACAATGTTTAGTATTATATTTATAAAAAAAGTTGTGGGGCTGGGGATTTAGCTCAGCGGCATAAGCACCTGCCTTGCAAGAAGGCAGTCGTGAGTTCGATCCCTGGTACTGATAAAAATGAGAAAGAAAAAAACAAAGTTATAATGTTTTCTTTGTATTAAAAATTCATTATGTATCTCAAGAGCAATTTTTTTTTTATCTTTTTCCTTTTTATTGGTACCAGGGATCGAACTCAGGACTGCCTGCTTGTAAGGCAGGCGCTTATGCTGCAGAGCTAAATCCCCAGCCCCTTTCAGGAGCAATTTGTAAACAAAATTTCATAATTAAATCACATGTGTTTTAATAAATGCATAGATTGAAAGATGGTAAATTATAAAGTTACAGTGTATTTACATATTTAACATTTAATATATGGTTTTTAATCACCATTAATTTATAGTTCATCGCTTATTATTCTGTGTATTGATATGAAATTAATGTGTAAAGGGTTTGCTTCTATTGTTGGATTAGATGATACCATATTGTCACATAATAAGTATAATTCTTTGGATGAATTTCTTTTAAAGATTTGGATGTATTCAAATCTTTAAAATATAGAAACATATTTATAGATTTGGAAAACTTTGCTATTGACTATGACTATCAGGCACAAATTATATACCTGTTTTTAGGAACAACTAAATCTTCATTTTAAGGAGCATGACCAATCCTTCTGCAATTTTTTTCACTCCTCAAACTTTCTCTTAATATTAACAAAAGAAGAGACTCATAGACAGGTGAAAGGCTTTAGAAAATGGGTTTTATGTAACAATTCTTGGTGGAGAATTTGGAATTCTATGTTGATAAAGACATTTAACTTTCATTTTTAACTTGAAATTGGGGCAAGAAAGAATTTGGGATGTGTGTGATTTTTAAATGTAAAACCATTTAGCTATGGAAGAGCTTATGACATTACAAGTTCAGACTGCAAGTCTAAACCCCCCATCACATGCTCACTCACACAGAGTGGATCACTTCTGGAGCAGGTGTGGTGTTTCTGATCACACTCAGCTAAATGGACCGTTCCCTAGCGTGGCTGTGATTAAGGATGTCAGTATTCTATGTGCTAGGCTGAGAGTTTCAATTCATACATCTTTCACAACGGGCAGCAGAGACTCTAAAAAGTCACTGCTTCACATTTCAACTGTTTAAATTCCAAGACTTGCTTTGAAGTTAAAAAAAAAAAAAGACACAAAGATCAGGTTGGCAGCCTTTACGACCTGAATCTATTAAGCAGATGTGCCACCCACTTGAGGCATATCACAGTCATGCTTACTTTCTTATAAAAAGAAAAGAAAAAATATTATATAGAACAACCACTGACAGCAGAAAAAAAATCTCTAATTATCATGCCTCAGCCTTTTGTGTGGATATATTTGTGCTATATATAAAAAACAAATATTATCTCTGATCTGCTAGATATTTAAGGGAGTAAGATGTAC